CTCCAGGTGCGAGCTGCTCATCAATGCCTTCCCAGTATATGCCTCCGTCACTGGTTTCTGCTACATTGGTAAAGATGGTGTTCTTGTAAATGGTCTTCATAGCATTGGGGTTTGTTTTTACTGATGTTCCGGGAGCGACTCCAAAAAAGCCGTTTTCTGGATTGATTGCCCTTAAATTACCTGGAATTTAAAGGACAGTGAGTATGGACACAAAACCCAGTTCACCAGTGGAGCTCTCTTCCCCATCCTCCCCCCAGACTTGGTTCCAGATCTTGTCGATAAATCATAGGAAATGCAGGTGCTGACTTCAATGCAAGCAGGATTAGTCCCTGCAACAATTCAACTGTAAATTCCAGAAAAGATTACCTCGCTCATCAAATTTCATCCAGGCAATATCATCCCCAACGCACTCAATTTTCCACCCTGGCAGAGTTGGGTTCATCATAGCCAAGTTAGTTTTCCCACATGCACTAGGGAACGCTGCTGCAAAATACTTCTTGTCACCCTCTGGATTTGTAACACCAACAATCTGGTGAAACACAAACACACCTGACAAATATGTCTATTTTCCCCCCTGCATTTTTGCAAGTTTAAAGAATGCAAATGGTAAAGACAAGCATTTAATCAAGCATGCTTTTTTCCCTAGAAAAAGGATGTAATGATAGAGCCAATCTTCTTAATTCACAAATTGTATTTTATGTGACAAGTAGTTCCTCTCTGAGAGGATCCCTTATTTTTTCAAATGCATATTATAATTCAAACATTTGCAGATTAAAAATATTCAGACTTGGAGCTGAGTTTCTCAGCTGTGATTGATCAGACAAGCCATGTGCTATTTGTGGCAGGAAAACTTGTACGCGTGTATTTATTGCCATGAGTATCCTATCACGCAACTTGGAAATTCACTTTCCAGGAGCATTTTATGTCAGTCAAATGCAAATGTTTCAAGTGGACAGAGAACAGAGGATTGCTTATAAATGTAACAGCCAACTGCAAGTCATTACAAAAATGCAGGTGTTTGTGCAGGTCTGCTTTATTATTTAAAAGACAATTTTCCAACCTGTAGTACCAGTCCTGCAAACTGTGCCATGCATATTGACTTCCATGGATCCCTGCTCGAAGTTGTTGGACCCCTGCCCAGGCATGAAGGTATGGAGCAACTTTCAGAATAATTAGGTAAAAAACTTGCTTGGTTCTCTATTTTTGAAGATGCCTCTTTAAAATGCTCACTTATTAGCAGGTCTCTGTTTCTAGATAAACATGTTATGTGATTTGTGCATCTCAGAGCCCTATAATATCAGGCCATGGGGAGCTCATGTTGAGCTGTTCTGTAGTTTAATTGCGTTTTGAAATGGACTTATGATTTAATGGGTCTTACCAGCATGTGCTCTGCCAGCCAGCCTTCTTCCTTGGCAATTCTGCTGGCAATTCGGAGAGCAAAGCACTTTTTCCCCAGTAAAGAGTTTCCTCCGTAACCACTGCCAAAGGAAATGATCTCTCTGCGATCAGGGATGTGAGCAATCAGAGTCAAATCTGGGTTGCAAGGCCAGTTGTTCACCAGTGGTTCTGCAAAACACAATGTGCTAGTCATGAACACAGCAATTGCCACAGGGGAGCAGGCAGCCCTGCATCCAGTGGTCGCTAGTAGTTGCAGTGGGCAGCTATGGGATAATTCGCCGCCTCTGACAGGTCTGCCTGAATATTAGCCAAAGTTAATGGTGGCTATTATTACTAACCTTTTAGTGGAAGAGGGCACCCAACTGAATGAAGGCACTTTACAAACTCCCCGTTGCCTAGGGCTTCCAAGACAGCCGTTCCCATTCGGGTCATTATCCTCATGCTGGCCACGACATATGGTGAATCTGTCAGCTGAATCCCAATCTTGGACAGAGGAGACCCAATAGGTCCCATGCTGAAGGGGATGACATACATGGTACGGCCTGTGAAACAGGAACAGTGCCAAGTGAGTGAGACAGGACAGGGATGGGGAGGAAACCACGCACTATTGGAGCAATCCTCATTATAAAGCCTCCTGTTCCCCACATTTCCTCACTTCTTTAAAAAACATCTGGTTTCTGATGATATCTAAAAATAACATCAGATCCTTTCCATTTGTCAGCATGTATAGCAAAAGGTTTGTCTTTGACCGATAGCAGTTTTCTCTGCTATGTAGGTAGCAGTGGCTATTGGAGCAGGGGACTAGGGACCAAATTTCATGCTGGTGTAAATACACGGCTCTCTGCTGAACAGGATTTGACCTTCAGAGTCAGGACTCCTGGGCTCTTTCCTCAATTTTAAGTCACCCATTAATCCAAGCTTCATTTTGCCATTCTATAAAGCAAGCCAAAGGAATAGTTTACCTGGGAGGCGCTGATAAGTGTGTGTGTGTGTGTGTGTGTGTGTGTGAGTGTACGCACGTGTGTGTGCGCGCGTATGTGCATGTGTGCTGAGCTTCAAGACTGGATGTTGGGTCCTGGTGCAATGAGATAGTGGCCTCCCCTGTGATGCTCCAGCGTGCACATTGGAGCCATGTGTATATTTGTGTTATGATATTATTACTGCTGGTGCCTGTGGTATTATAAAAAACGTATATCATTTTTCTTTTTGAACCCACCGTTCATGCACGCTGGAAATCTGACGCTGAAGGCTTTCTCAAAATCTTCTTCTGACATCCAGCGGCCCAGCTTGCTAATTCCAGTCTTGGGGATTGGGACTGTATCTCTCTGCTCCTGAGTGATGATGACAGTCCTGCTTTCAATTCTTGCCACGTCCCTTGGGTCAGTGAGAGCCAACCAACTATATTTTAACAGAGATTAGGAAACTGCTTCAGTTATTAAAAGTCATAAGTACGTGCTTAATCCTTTCAGGGCGCATTTCAGGTACAGCAAGCTATAGTGTTTTTAGGAGTAAAACAAAGGTGACAGAGTCAATAGCTTCAAGGCAACCACAGATTATGTGGATAAAGGATTGGTTGTGGATAAAACTGTAAAACATTGTGGAATGGACTGGTACCTCACTGGACTTCATAAATTGTAGTTGCATGTATAACCTTCCCTTTACCTCAATTTTACCATCTGTAAAAGGGGGTTAGAAGCTTGCAGGGGCGGGTTAAAAGATTTGACCCTGTTCTCATGTATTACATCAACATAAACCAAGATTACACCACTTTTACGTAGGAAACAGCGCAATGATGCCTGTAGAAAAAGGAGATCCTGAAAACACTTTTAATACCAGTGTAGGTGCTCGCAGTACTAGAGCAAATGGGGGATTCAGATCTAGCCCCCTACTTCAACAAAGCACCTCGGAGTGGAGATGCTGCACTACTAAGCATTATCATGGCTCAATAGAGAGTTATTTTGTTTAAACTATTTATAGTTGAGCGCATTGTTCTCTGTTTTCAACTGTGCAGGGAAATCTTCAATTAGTGCAAAAGTGTTCTAGTCAGACTGTCATAATCATCATCGCTGCAGTGCTTGGCATATAATTAACGGTGAATAATTTATCTGTTGAATTTTGCCCTTTTCCCCCACAAATACCCTGCAAACAGATTGCAAAATTCTTGTGTTCTTAGTTATTCAAAATTCTTTGCAGATTTCTTCAGTGAATAAATCTTGATCTATAAGTCATTCCCAAATGCTTAATTGTTGTTAACATTCTCATTTCATGTGAGTTATTTGGGAAGAGGCAGTGGAATAGTTGAGCAAAATATTTGCCAAATAAGTTCCAGTCAAACTCATCAGCATGATGTGAATAATGTGTTTTTTATGAATAATATTTGAACAACTACAGGGCATTTTGAATGCCATCAAAATAGTATTTAAATAAACTCTTTTGACTAGAACAGTGGCATTCTTCAAAATCTGTGTTTACTCTCTGTTTGTTACACACTGCTAATGACTGCTGCCAGGAGTCACGCAACAGAGATGTAACGTGGAGCTTTTGCGTCCCGGGTGGCAGAAGCTAGACAGGTGGCAGGGACCTGGCAGCTGTTATTCTTGCACCTTTCTTATATTGGTGCCTGGGTATGGTCACGTAATATTGTCTCTGTTCATAGGACTGGGTGATTTCTGTAACTAACCAATAGAGTGATGGTAATGTATGGATATCCCAGTTGAAAAATTGTAATTAGCTTAAATTGTAAATAAGCTAAATCGCATTAACTTATGCAAATGTCCATGGACAGCAAACACTAATGAATTTTGAATGTGTCTATCACTTACCAGTTCTCATACTTGCTCAACTTCTTGACCATGCCTTGTTCTTCCATGAGGGCCAGGATTTTTTTGTTCTCTCCCTCTGAGCCATCACAGATATGGATGCTATCGGGCTGGCAAAGCTTGGCATTGCTTTCAATGAAGCCTCTCACATCCTGATTCAGACTTTCCAAATCCCCCTTGATGACCTTTGAAGTGATATTCAACTGAGTCTTCAGCTGAGGAGGCATTATTTGTTGATTGTGGTAGTTCTTGCTGATCGGCATGACGTACAGGTTGCAATCTAAGATCAAACAGTTACATTGTTACACAATTCCTAAGGAAATGAATGTGCTTTCCAAAACACAACGCAGCTGTAAAAAGAAAAAAATATATTCCATGGATATTCAATTTTGTCATATGTTATACTTGATTACATGCCAACGGTTATGATCTGAGAGAGAATCTCACCACCTACAGATAAATATACACCCGTGAAAAAATGCATGTTTCATTTATAGATGGTCTACTTACTTTCCTTGAATTTGAGCCCCTTGAAAGTTCTTGAATTTGAGTTCGGAGAAGATTTTGTTGTCTCTTCCCACTATTTGTACTGGGCTCACTTTGGAGTATTCTTGTACTCTTTTCTTTCCAAGGAGTCATTCTGCTGTCTTAAATACCCCTTGTGCGCTGGAGACCTTCCCACTTAGATGAGGTGAGGGAGGCCTGTCCCCTACGTCACTAAAAGATGTTTCTTAGGACGCTGTCGCAGACGGCTATTATCGCAAACACTGGTTGACAAGAAGAAGCCCGGACAGGTAATCATTTAACAGACCTGATTAATGAATGTCGGAGGCAGTGATTCTCAGCCTCTGGATTTGTTGTTTTAAGCAGTTACGAAAGGTGCTCATTTGGCTAAACTTTGACCTAATTTTGCCTCAATGCAAAAAGCGTCATAACTTGTGAATATGTGAGAAAGGTTGAGCACGATGAGTGGCTGGAACCGGGAACGCTCAAGGTAGTGACAAGCAAAAGAGTCCAACACACCAGGTCCGATCGCACCTATCAGTTGGCTGTGAACTGGAGGCTTGTCCAAGGTATGTTTACTCACCTTGAAAGTATAGCCTGATAGAGGGATAAAGTTCAACTTTTATCCCAATAAAGCAGTAATTGGAGGGGAATATACACACCCGGGGAGATTGGAGGCTCTAATTTTCAGCATGCAGTTCTGAAGAGCTGTACCAAATTTACTTTGGCTCATGAATGTCTTTGAGTGTTGGAAAGACAGAAATTTGATTATGTATAAGTCTACGCAAGACCCTTCCACATGTGCCAGGCAGAGCTTCTCCAGGACTGTAAATCCTCAGGATGCTGTGTAGTACGATATCAGCAACTACCTGAACGACCGATCTACCAGGGTGTCAGGGCAAACGTAAGCTCGTTTTGGGGGAGGGGGGGGGAAAAGGAGAAAAAAAAAAAAGGAAAAGCACAAAACTTCCTCGTGTTTATCAGAGGTGCAGCAGGGCAGGTCTGCCGCCCAGGCAGTGCCAGTACATAGGGCAGTTCTGGCTGCCGTGATGCCAATGGTGGTGGTGTGTCCCGCCACTAGTATGGTACAGCTATTTTGCTATCTCCCCTACCAAAGGTGGTGCCTGAGCTGCTGCCCTGTTTGCCCCTCTCAATTTTGCTGCTGGTATTCAGAACCCAGATGTGCAAACGTCCCTGTATTGCAATCCTAACCTCCCCCAGTCCTGCTATATAACTGGTGAGCTTCTTCTGGGCAGATGCTGATTATCAAGTGTGTAGCACAGGAACATGACCACTAGGTATTATATTAAGGCTTTCAAACTTGTTACTTGTGAAGTCAGCAGGATTTGAACACAAATATCCATCCCAGAAAGTTTAGCACCACAACTATCAAAGTATTTATATTTTAAGAAACATGTGCGTCTCTGCGAATCTCAAAGCATATGACAGGCACAAAGTATCATAACCCTTCTGTGACGCATGCCGTTATGATTCCCACGTTGCAGAGGAATAATAATGAAGAGCACAGAAATATTAGGGCCAAGATTTTCTAAAGAAACTTCAGAGTTTGGAGGCTTCAATTTCTGCAGCCCAACCCCGGACATTACAGAGGTCTGATTTTTTCAGAGGCGCAGTGCACCTACAATTCCAGTGATGTCCAGGGAAGTTATGGCAATTGCTGGGAATCAACCCTATATGTCTCATATTGGGCCAATATTAACTTGGGCTTGTCCGAACCAGGATTTTGGCTAACCAGAAGGCTCCTCTCTCCAGGAATCCACCAGGCTGGCAAACTTCACTAGCAGTGAATTCAATGGGGGAAAAGCCCTTTTTGTAAAGCATCTTAAATGTAAATGTTATTTTTCATTTAAACGGAAAAGCTTTTTTCAGTAGTAACTGAACTATAATACATCTCTTCTAATGGCTGAATACAAATCCTTTGGATTGAACTTTTTTTTGGCACTTCTTCTCTGTACTTTTTTGACACCTAAATGTGATGCTCATCAGGTATCTTCTTGGAAGCTGTCAAATTATTTAAATGAGTGCAAATCTGACATTTCCAGATGATAGTGTTCAATAAGTGCCTTGAAAGGAGTGTTTTCAAGATGTCTGCTTTGATGGACACCATTCACACTGTTCAAAATAAAGGTTTTGAGTGCTTCAATTTAGGAGTGACTTAGTAGAGCTTAGTACAATACATTTAAAGGCTCTTAACTACTCAGGAAAAGTGTATGACAAAAGTTTTAGGCTTCATCATTGCAAACAGACACAGGTGCAACAAAGCAATCTCGCTGAGAGTTGAAAATCACTAATAGCACATAATACTACTTAGAAATTCTGCATTCTTCACAAAGCTCATTGTTTCAGGTATTGTCACACAAAAAAGTTCTGGGGTGACACGTCTTTTATCTTGACAGTTGAGGTTTTTTGGAATGGATTAATCTGGACTCATATGCAGCTGACTTGTGAGGGTTGTTTCAGGGCTGCGTTTTCTTTGCATTATGGCAGTGCCCAATTGAGGTCAAGCCCAGTTGTAACTGCTGCATGAACAGAGTCAGAGATGGTTTCCAGCCCTCTGAGCTTCCAATATATATGGACAAAATGGGAAAGGGACTGGGGAAAGTAAGTGTTAGTATTCTCGTTTTCTAAAAGCGGGGTTTGGCCATTGAGACATGAAGCGTGTGTCCTAAATTGCATACAAAATGGGCCCTTGCTACCATACGGCAGGGAAGCCAGTAATACTTGTTGCACTTAGCAAATGGCTGCACTTTCGGAGGCTGCGGACACGACACTGGCACTTGTGCACCTTACACTGCTGTCGTTTTCTCCCTTGTTCTTTCAGCAGTGATTCTGTGCTGCACCAGACACTTACCCCAGTTGTCTGTCCGCTCCTTGTTTAAAACCGGTGGACACTTACACTGGTATCCGCATGCAGTTGTGCTGCTTGTAAGAACTACATCTCTGTTGCAGATCCATCTGTGGCTAAAGAAATAAGCCTCTGGGAAGAGAGAGGAAAGGTAGCGCCGTTGGCATGACAGTGCTTCCCTCCTCTCCCCTTTCCTTTCACCCTAAATGTGATTGCATTGTCCATCTTATTCAGGTTGCTGGATCATTTTAATATGCTAGAAGGCCCCATAAGGCACTGTGAGTTTGGCACCTGGCACAGACATAAGGTGAGTTTTTCAGACAGTGGAGGCATCTGCAAATATCTGGCGTAGCTTTACAGTGGTGCTGGGAAATCAAGTGGGCTGGTCATTTCATCTTCATTTGCCTCCCTGGTTTCTTCATCTCTCTGCTGGCCGTGCTGAAGTTTTTCAAATGTGAGGTAAGCAAATCATGCCAAAAAGGAAAATACAGCCACAGCAACCCCATGGCTGGTGGAAGGAGGAAGACTCAGGCTTCTTTCTCTCTCTAAAGACTCAATCATGAGCCATGTTATAGGACAGGGGCGGGCAATTATTTTGGGCAAAGGGCCGCTTACTGAGTTTTGGCAAGCCATCGAGGGCCGCATGACAGGCAACCAAGGGCAGATAAATATTAATTTTCTAAATTTTTTAGGGGTCCCGCGGGCCAGATAGAATGGCCTGGCGGGCTGCATCCAGCCTCCAGGCCGCATTTTGCCCACCCCTGGTATAGGAGCAGTTGCTGTGGTGTTGCCCTGCAGGAGACCAAGAGAGGTTCTCTCTCAGGGAATTAAACCTCAGCGTAGACTCCTGGTGGTATCAATCTGCCACCCGGTTTGGAGCAAGAAGGTGCCACTTGTTGCATGGGAAAAAGTCCCAGTGCCTTGAGTTCCCTCCCGTATTGCTACATGAGACGTGGGCAGCCAGCACAGGGCGTAGGCCAGGCTGCAAGTCAGCCCTGAAATGGGGTTAGCTACCAACACCCCAAGAGAAGGCAACAGCCTGCAGTGGAGTCAGCACAAACACTCAACACCCGAGTGTTCGTAAACTAGCACTTTTTGTGGTAGTTCACTAGCATGCATCCTGGTTTTCTCCGATTTTAAAAAATCCCCAATTTTTGGTTAAAAAAAAAAAAGTAACCCCAAATCCACATTTTTCCCTGATTTAAATGAAACACCCCTGATAGATAGATAGATAGATAGATAGATAGATAGATGGTGATGTTTCATTTTAATCAGGGGAAAATGTAGATTTGCAGTTACTTTTTTTAACTGAAAATTGGGGATTTTTTTATATCAGAGAAAACCAGGATCCCTGCTCATCACAAGACTACCAGCAAGAAAAGTGTCTGCATGGAAGCTGACTTTTCCAGTTAGGTGTCACACCTACAGAAGAGTCGCACTCGACAAAGGCTGGGTCTGTTGGATCATTTCGCAGCTTTCAGCATTGCTGTGTGCTCCTCCCAGCCTGGGAGACCTAGAGACGGGGCTGGCTCAGGATTGTCCTGCTTGTTCTTCCCAGGCAGGTGCCCTTGGGACTTCCTGGGGAGTCTTTTATAGATCAGTCCTATCTTTTACTTGATTTGACATCTGTGTGAGGGCACTGGCATCAATATAAGGATAATGGCCTCTGTAGGAATCAATATCTGGACAGCTGTCAACTATATTTAACCTCTTCATCAGGTGTGAGGGCTGGAATTCTCCTAATGCTACCCTGGGGATTTAGATAAAGAGTTACTGTCTCAGACTTATTGCACATAAGACAGAGGGAAGGCTGGATGGCACGTGGAAGCTTTTTGAGAGCCGGCTGGTAATGCGGCTCTACAGATAGTCTGGCTTTTTGCTATGCAAAGTGTTATTGGGGAGACGCTTTGCATGGCTAATGCATTCTTTTGGCTGGATGCATGGCATAGCTGCAGTCGGCAGAGAGGGGCCAAGCTGCACCAGGCAGCGTAGAAAGCAGTCAGCCTAAGGCTACGTGTTTCCCTATGTAGCAGCTGCTCAGTTCAGTTGTACACGGCCCAGATGGCATCAAGGCTCACGTTTACAAGGGGAGGTCAGTGCCGCTGAAGTCACCCGGGAGGGGAATCCATGTTCACCGCATAGCTGAAGTGTTTGCAGCTGGCAACCCCGTCTGGACCTCCCCACTCCTGCCTGCGGACAGGGCAGACAATAACTCTCTCCACACTAACCTTTGCAGTTGTTAAACTACGGCTAAAAATACTGGATAAATTCTTCCTCTGAAAAAGACTTCTGGCTTCCTGGAGGGCCAAGTGACAGGGCTCCTCCGGCTTTGTGCTGTGAGCAAGATTTCGCATTGCCTGATTTTGTTTAGGGAATGAAAATTCCCTGGTATTTTCCCTGGGCTTGTTTTTTCTTCCAGGATGAAACGGCAGCCTCCAGCGCCCCTGCGTTCACTCGGATTTTAACTCCCCGCCATTCCTTTACCTGTATTTCTTACCATGCCGACAGCTCTCCATTCCCGGCTGTTACTTTAGTATTACACAGCATTGTCCAACTCGCTGGCAACATGCTATTATTCATCCGTTTTAATATCTGCTTCATTTCTTTAATTCTCTTGATCCATCTTTAGCTCTTCTTACCTCTGATTTGACCCACTGGTTGCCTGTTTCTTTTCCCTCCTTGGCAGCTCGCTCAGGGTACAGAGCTGAATTGGAGATGGAGTCACTTCACACCTCTGCCACAGGTAATAGATTCATAGATGCTAGGGTTGGAAGGGACCTCAATAGATCAAGTCTGACCTCCTGCATAGGCAGGAAAGAGGGCTGGGTTCAAATGACCCCAGTTAGATGCATATCCAACCTCCTCTTGAAGACCCCCAGGGTAGAAGAGAGCACCACCTCCCTTGGGAGCCCGTTCCAGATTTTGGCCAGGTTTTATCTCTTTGGACCATAGGCCAGGTTGGTATAGTAACCTTACCCTGCCTGTGGCGGCAACCATTAACACACTTCTACATTGGAAACTGGAACCATTATGGGCAGATTAATTTGCATTGCTGAGTGGCTACGCTGCCTCTGGTTTAGGAGTCCAGGCAGAGCAGCATGCTTGAGGACACTGCAGCCGGCCTGGTAAGGTTAGTGTTTAGACAGGGGTTAAGCTCTCTATCCTGTAAAACAGAGTAAATTATGCTTCCTTTTTATGCTCTCACTCCATTCATGGACGGTGCTTGGGACAGTAGACTTCGGGGGTCTTGAGGAGCCATTGTAATGCAAATGAATACCCCCTCACCTGATCCTGCAGCCTTGGAAAATGTTTTCCCCCTTTGCCCCTAACCTATTTTCTCTTTTATTAGCAACACAAACTAGACTGAACTGTGTCTTCTGTTTTAAGTAGGATTCATCTCTCATTCTCCGCAGGAATATTGCTGCGGTGAGTATTTTGAGCACCTTGTAATACAGGCAACAACAGCAGCAGAGTAAAGAAGCTGACCAGGCAAAAATAAAAGCCTGGCTACATCTAAAGGTCAGAAGGCAAATGATATACCTGTGTCAGGCACTAGATACCTCTGGTTCCTACGCCTGACAGCCTCAGGAAAATCAACAGTAGAAAAAGCCATTGACCTGATAGCATTTTATCTGCTTACTGATAAGCTCTGTTTAAGTGTTAATTGGCCAGTTGAATATCTATATACTGTGCAATAACTATCAAACATGTTTCAAACAGAAATAAAGCAACAAGAATAAATTCAAAATCTGTGGGTTTTTTGTTCCTGATCTTTTAAATTAAAGGAAGCATTTCTGTATGGTAAGAGAGTGGGAGTGAGCTCGGGCTCATGAAAGCTCAAGCATCTCTGATTTAGTTAGTCTATAAGATGCAAATCTACCCTGCTTTCATTTCTGTCTGGTGACCAGTGTAGGTTATTCCCATCCAAGAGGTGTCCCTATCACAAAGACAAACCACTTACTAGCAATGACATCTCGGTAGAGGACCCATGGAGACACTTTCTCATTTCTCATCATGGCACACTGGTTCTCTTGAACCTATTTCTTTTGATCATACACCAGTATCCAGATCCAGAAGCCTGACATCATTCAGAAACAAATTAATGCAATTTGAAGAGAAACTTTTTATCACGTTGGCTTAAAAAACCAACAAGTGCAAATTAATCTTGACTGATTTGCATAATGCAAACACTGGAAAACAGTGTAACCCATTTAGTAACCTTTACCACTTAATTACTTAGTCATTTGTACCGCAGTAGCACCTGGAAGATAGAGCCCCATTGTACCAGACACCAATATGTAATAAAGGCAATCTCTGCCCAGGAGATTGTACAAGATGAGACAAATGGATATGAATGGCAGCCCAAGGGAGCCTAACAGTGAGACCACTATGAGCAGAGCCATAGAAGTAATTGCAGCACACCATTACTTAGCCATTAAGTGTTCTGGATACATCTATGGACTTAGAAAAAGTGTGAAGGAGAAATCAGCGTTGGCTTTGTGGAACTTGAAAGAGGCTTCTTTTATTCAGAAAAGGTGTCATGGCAAACACGTACACAACAAACATCTACATCTTTATTAGCTGTTTATCAGTGAAAGATTCATAGATGATAGGGTCGGAAGGGACCTCAACAGATCATCGAGTCCGACCCCCTGCATAGGCAGGAAAGTGTGCTGGGTTCAGATGACCCCAGCCAGATGCCTATCTACCCACCTAAGAGTTTGCTACCTATTTGGTCATGGTCTTTATAAATTGTAGTTTGGCACATCGTAAAACCATGTAGCTGTTGGCAGAAATTAGGAGTGACTCCACTAGTGTTGGTGAAGTTATACCAAAGTAAGTGAGATCAGAATCAGACCTGAAGGTTTGCACACTGTTCTGGAGTCCGCTGTGTGCTGACATGTCCCCCCACCTGCTTGGTGACTTCAGTGTCCATGTAGCAAGACGAACTACTACGTTTGTAGCTACGGGGGGAACCCTTGTCATCCAGGACACAGGGTTGCTGACTTTGCAAGGTCAATACTCGTTTGCTCTCAGTTCATTTCAACGTGGAGGCAGAATTTGAACTCCTTTGGGTTGTGCCCGTAATTCATTGGTATATTTTGAACAAGGACGAGATAGTCTCATCTGCTGGCACTCTCATTAACTTCCAAGAGCTGATGGTCACCCAGGCAGTCACTTCTCAGAACTGTGTTCCTGATTAAAGATTAACAATGTGATAAAAGCAAGGAAACATGGGCATCCTTGAAACCAGCTGCTTTCATCAGCCGAGTTAAACCTTTACTATCTCTTTCTACTTGTACATCCTCCCTCTGTGCGTGTGGCAATCCACCTTTGCCTGTCCCTAGCATGTTTTGCCTCATTTAATCAAGTTAGTGGGAAAACCTCTGCTTTCTAAACTTGGTCACTCTGGGACTCCTGCACAAATAAGAAGAGAAAGCGTTGACCAATGTGAATACAATCTGGAGGAAAAAAAAATGTTTCTTAGCTATTTAGACGTGTTGTCATTGAGGGGCAAGTAAGGTCTATAGTCGTGATACCCTCTTCCCGCAGAATGGTGAAAATCAGGTGTCTCCCGAAGAAATGTCCTTTGCAAAAGATGAATTAAACAACTTAATCTGGTATCTTCCAGATAAGATGCTAAAAGATATGCGTCACTGCATGGATGCTTTGGATTCAAGGCTTCTAAAAGGGCACCTGATGAAAAGGTTGGTAGGCAAGTTTCAATTTATGGTTAATATTAAAAAAAAAATACTTTCCTGTTCAATCTGTGTGCAATCATCCCTCCCCCTCAGCGCTTTCAGCTATATAGAGCTTATATTAAATCCTTGCTCTTGTATACATTTCACATCAATCTAATATTATACCATATCTATGGTCTGTGAGGGGCCATGTAGGTTCAAAGTGCTATATAATTATAATCACTAATAGCATTGGGTGGGATTCTCAAAAGCACAAATGTGATTTCAGAGCAGAACTCCTATTGGCTTTTAATAAAACTCTCTTTAGTGTTTTTAAAAAGCCCACCCATAGTGCTTAAAAAGGGATGTTTCCCTTTCCCCAACCCAATTTAGACACTGGGATAAAGGCAAGAAGGAGAGCAACCTGTGAAATTAGGGCTCGACTATGCCTTTAGCACAGACTCGAACAAGGTATGGTGCATACATTGCCTGGTGCACGGAAGTGTTATGCCTGAGACATACACTTCTGAATCCTAGCTTCTCCTTGCTTCACCTTTGTTGTGGTGGGAGGGTTGTAATTTTACTGGTAGCCTCCTCTTCTCTCTGTCACTTGCTTTGGGGAGGGAGCGACAGAACGAGCAGACCCGCTTAAATGCCTAGCTCCAAGGACCTACTGGTGCTTATGTAACTGCAAGGGGAGATGGTCATGCTTATAAATCTATTGTTCAGGTAGGTAATCCAAGTCACATTCGAGTCCTAAATTACATTTGCTGAAGAAACCATGTAGGGCATGTAAGAGTTTTATATATATCACTGTTTGTTTCTGTAACAATATAACTCAAAGCAAGGAAAGCAATGGGCATGCCACAAAATAGCTAAAATCCTTTATTAACTAGTTTTTCCCAAGCAGGGTGCGAATTAAGAGGGAGCTCAGGGAGGCTAACCACCCCGCCCATAACAGACAAGTGCCTCCCTGTAAGATTGGAAAATTATAACCTGGTGGGGAGGTCTCTGATCAAATTGCTCCTTCACTTAGGTGGGTTTGTTAATCAATGAAACGGTTTAATTTTTTTTTTTTTTGCAGACACCCCCAAGAGTCAAAGTGTAATTCAAACCCTGTTCCCAAGGGATCGATATCTTTTCTGAAATTCTGAATGTTTCACGCTCCCAGGGAATCGGGGAACATGCAGCTTCAAAACTGAAACCACATATAAAACAGGGATGAAGGTTGGAAAATTACAGCCCAGTGATCCGTCCTTCTGAAGCTGGTAATAATGTGAAGAGGATTCTTTATTTTAGTGATTAGAAAGAGGGGCAATATATCTTTACAAACCGGATGATGGTGAGGAAGGAAACGTTTGCCATTGAGCTTAGTATCAAAAGCACAGAGATGTATGCTATTCCAACCAGTGCTGGGGCACTCAGATACCAAAACGAAAAGTACGCTATAAATATGGCAGAGATCAGGCAACGCTTAAAAGCGGCAATCTCAAGGAAGATGACTATGAAAATCTTCCCAGACACCACTGTGCTGAAACTGCTAGGAAAGATGAATCCCCCACAAAATAAGTCACAGCAGGCAAGCAGCTTAGCTGAGGTTTTTGTACAGGTTAAACAGAAGGCATGACTTGGATTAGGATGGACTTTGGTTTGCCAAGAAAGAATTTCATAAACTGCACTAGTCTGAGCGGCTGAACAGGTTTGGAGTGGTTCTGCTCAGTGTTCGAGGTCCAGTGGGGCTGACCTGTTTGCTTATCTTTCCCTTAACTGACTCAGTCCGTAGCTATTATCATCCTAATTTGTCCTGAACTCTATGACGGGTCACAGATTCTTCATTAAATCACGTCTTATTGCTTCACAGTTACATGAGCCCTGGGCCCAAACCAAAACCATTGAAGTCAATGGGAAACTTTCTGTTGATGCTACTGGAGGCTGGATGAGAGCCCATCCAGGATGTGCAGGGAAAGTACGTGGTGTACCAGGCACTGACTGGATTGCACAGGCTCTCCGTTCCCCAGAGCCTACTGCCAAAAAGCAGAGGACGATGGGAACCAAACTGAAGGCATTCATACCTTTGAAGATCAAGGATATTTATGATGGATCACAACTGTGATATTCTCATTACAAGTAATCTATATGGAATGAATATGAAGGATCTCTAGTCCATAAAGGACAGCATATTCAGAATTAAGGTGGACAACCTGGACTGGTGCTCTGATCTTAACTTATGCCAAAGTGCAAAAAGTAGATTGCAAAAGCCAATCAAGCTGCTTGTCCTCAGTAAAAGCCCTCATTGGACCAAAGTTTGCTGCCTCGTCTTGGTCAAGCTGGCAGCCAGAATTTGGCCCATTTACTTCAAATTTTAACTGCATTTGTTTCCTATTATGCATTGCTAGATTCTCAGCAACAATTTCTCAGTGTTTGTAGCTGAATTTTCTTTGTCTTTACATAATGATAGTTTGACAAAAAGTTGTGAACTATTGAAATTCCATAAACTTCTTAATTAGTAATGGACCATGCAGAATAAGTTTACCCTTCCCTTTAAAAGATGTTTAAAAAACACACATGGTTCATGACATTAATGCATGTTCTTGGTCAGCTAGTGTGAAATGGAGTATTCGGAGTAGTGGGTAAGAAGCCGTCTGGTTATACTTAGATGTAGATAATACAGTAGACAGTATTGGTAATTGTAGAGATGGTTTAATCAATAGACCATAATGAGCATTGCAGCCTCTATAGTGTCAAAACTTAGTTATTCAGTTTGTGGATCACTGATCCAAGTGCTTCCCTTGAATTCACTGAAGCTAAACTGAAGCGATATTCTGAACTGGAGTTACCAATCCTTGAAAATATCAGTTTGAATTATAATAATGGCAGACCCTTAATAAACAGTGTGGATGGTGTTAATAATGCAAAAGTACAAAGCAAGACAGACTTGACGCTGATGACTGCTGGAAGTGCAAAGAAACTCATTAAAATGACCTAAAGGAATCTATATTATTTTTAAAATGTCTTTTTCTCACTGCCCCTCAACTACCTATTGTAATGACATACACCACAGCAATCTGAAGAGATTTTAATACATGCAAGAGTAGGAGCCTGCAGCTGCCATTGACTGTACACCATGTAATATCCAATTGAAATATTATTCCCCCAAATCACAAAGGTATATAAGCAGTAAATAATTGCTTTGGCTTTGAGATGTCCTCTTAAGGAAAAAAACTTAATGGTTTAAAATTATTTGCATTTATAAATGGTAAAATACAGCGAGATAAATCTTACTGCTGTTTTGTGTTGTATTTTGGTTTTTACCTTTTGGCTTATGCCTAAGGGGTAACTTGCTTTTGGCAAAATAGGAATGAATGGGCATTGTCAGAGGATAAGGCCCTGTACATTTAATGTCCTAAAATCAATATGGTCATGAGATTCATTTTTTGTGTATGCAATATTATCTTCCTCTCTTACAGCTTGTGCCAGGTACTGGACCCCTGAACCCACAGGGATCTCCAGTGGTGATGACACTGTGCGGGTGCCCCCTTGCAACATGATCGTTAGATCTTTGGCTCTTTCGTGTATGTTATATTGCACCTACCATTATTAATAGGAATAAATACAATTAAATAATAGCTTTGCAGAAAATGAAATGCATGTTTCCTGGATGTACAGTAGCTAACTGTATTCAGTAACACAGCACCCTGTTTAAGTGCATATGCTGGAACTGAAATAATGCTAAGCATTTATTCAAGAGTATGAACTTTCTGGAACTTAATTTAAACCAGTGGCGGCCAAAAATTAAGGCTGCACCTTCCCCAAGTGCTACTCTAATCCCTTTCCTCTGCCTGATCTGCTGCTCTGCCTTCTGCTCCCTACTCCATACTCCTTGTTGGATCTACTGCTCTGGTCTCTGCTTCCTGCTTGTGCCCACTGTACGATCTCCTGCTCTGCTTTCTGCTTCTTCCTATATCCACTGTCCCGCGTGACCTCCTGCTCTGCTTTCTCCTTCTTCCCATATCTGCTGTCCTGCACGATCTCCTGCTCTGCTTCTTCCCATATCTCCTGTCCTGCCATGTGCCACACAAAGAAGCTGCTCTTGGCACAGGTTGGCCACCCTGGATTTAAACCACATTTTGGAGTACTCATCCCTGTTCCTGTTGTAGCAGGAGCCTGACAAGCCTCTGTCTTTTTCCGGGCTTCTAATGGTAGCAGGGCTGCTTACGAAGGGAGATAGTCAGTTTTAGAGCTGCTGTGAGAGTCCTGGGAAGCGATAGCAGCCCTAAAACTGACTGCCCGAAAACTGACTCCCTCCTGTCATTTCCAAAGCCGCTAATCCCAGCCCATGGCCGGCTGCTTCCCCATCACCCTTTCTGCGGCTAATTATGATGTAGCTAAACAGAGCTTAACTGCCTTACAAAGCAGAAGGTGGAGCAGAAAGATGCTGTGCCCTTAAGCAGCGCACACCCTTAACTGATAGGCAGATGGTGGAGGTTGGTTGCCAAAATCTAGAACGCTTGGTTCCAAAACGCTACCTTTTATCATTTAACCAACTGATAAACTGCAATTTTAGACCAGTTGCAATTTTAGACTCAGTCGGTCTAACTGCAACGTTAACACTCATTGCCGTTTTAGACTCAGTTGGTCTAATACCAGTCGGTCTAATCGGACCAATTGCAATTTTAAACTCTGCACCGAGCCAAGGCTGTGACTCAGTCGGTCTAATACACTTGCAATTGCATTAGACCAGCTCAGCTGGTTTCATAAAAGGCATCATCTCTGAACCGAAGAGTTCTCGATTTTTGCATTTCTCTTGGTCTCAGAGCAACACGGCGACCACGATACATCCCTGATCACGGATGTTTGCACCTAAGCAATTAAAAAAAAATTGTACTGGTACTGCGTGATGCAATTAAAAAAAATGATACTGGTACTGCCTGATGCAATTAAGTGTCGGATATGCAAAAAACAAAACAAACAAAACAACCCTAACCCATCTCATCTGATTGAGGTGCATTCATCGCAGGTCAGCTCACAAGGCTCCTGGCCGCGGTGGTGCTTTGGCAACCCTGCACCGAGCCAAGGCTGCGGCTGCGACCCGGGCACCTCCCTCAAGCTCGGGGAGGTTTGAAACCTTCCTCTCGCCGCAAAGGGAGGCGGCACCGGCAGCGCTTGCAACACGTGCGGGCCGCGCACAGCCTCCCTCCGTGCGCTGCCCGCAGGTGCGAGCCCCCTAGGGGGAAGGGGCTGGGCTGGGCAGTGGGTGGGAAGGGAAGCGGACGCACGGTTGCACTGGGGAGGAGGAGGGATGAGGGTCTCTGAAGGCAGTGGGGATTTGGGGGTCCCTGGATGCAGGGGGTCCCCAAGCGTGTTCCTTTGCCAGGTGCCGCCAGCGATGGAAGCGCCCCCCGAGCCCTTCACCCAAAGCAAAGGGGCCGCAAGATCCCCCGAGGGCGCGAGGCAGGAGGCCGCGGGGGCCGGGATCTCCCGCGTGGGGCTGGGCGACCAGGACGGGGAGGGCGCGGGGGTCGCCTCCCCAGCCCAGGTGCTGCTGGGAGGCGGGGAGGGCCGGGCGGGGGCCGCCCCTGCGGGAGAGGCTGGGAAGCACCTGCTCGTGCTGCAGACCGTGCACCTGCAGGCCGGGGAGGAGGACGAGGAGAAGGAGGCCGAGCCCCAGGGCGGGGTGCGCGTGGTGATGCAGGACGAGGCGCCCGTGGTCGTCGTGGGAGAGGGGGTCGGCGTGCAGCAGGACGTACCCCCGGGGGTGGCCATCAGCCTCCAGGATGGCATTTACACCTTTCACGACATGGAGCTGATGCAGATCAGTGTCTTGCAAGACGCAGCGCCCGGGAAGAGCAAAGAAAGCAAATCCACGGAGAAGTTCGCAGACGTGCTACTGATTAAGGTGGACATTCAAGACCAAACCACATCCCTGGGCTTGCTTTCAGAGCAAGATGATGCTCTCTAGCCTTTAGTTTGTGCTGTGAGTGACTAAAAGTAAAAAAAAAAAAAAAAAAAGAAACCCTTCTGAAAATTCCCAGTTAAAAGTCACAGCTATTATTAATGGGAACTGGGCATCTAAAACCCCACAGCAGGTTTTTAAAATCTCAGTCTATATTTTTATAGCAACCTTTCTTTTTTGTAACTTTGGTGGCGAGGGCTGATTTCATGTGCTAATCTGCCTGTTTCAATTAGGGTGGCAGGGAGCGCTTGGAAAAATCTGACCCCAACGCTAGGATCCGAACACTACAGAAGTGTTGGCTCTAACCCATCTGATCTGATTCCTGTTGAAATTTATGTCAGAAGTTATATTGATTCAGTAGGCCCAGAATCAAAACCCAGAGGGATCATATAACAAATAACTACTGGAAATCAGATTTAATTAGTGGGTAGCGTATTGCACTATAGTCAGTGCAGAAAGCCTGTGCTGTTTTGAGACTGCTTTTGCTTGATTGAATTGTTAAGGCGCTCTCCTTTATTTTTAAACCAGATTGATAGAAGTAAAGAGGTGCTTGCAGTTGAAGGGAAGGTTCACCAGGCACCCACAGCTGAGGAGTTGAGAGGAAGCGAACTTCCTGCTCTCGAGGGAAAAAAGATCCAGAGCTGTAAACCCGACGGTGGTGGATCAGCATCACACCATGACTATAAAGAGGAAGATGCGACTCCATCAGAAGAAGCAGATATAAAGTATACAGAGACTTTCAGAGCTCAGACAAATGCACTTCAGCAGAAGGAAGGTAAAAAATTGACTACGCAATACTTGTAATTTATAGTTAGAAAACAGGTGGGAATTTTATAAGGAACTTTCACACTACTTAGATTTAGTTTAAGGTCAGTAGTAACGTTTTGCTGTATGATGGCAGGAGGAGTAACCCTTTTGGACTAGCTAATGAAGATGTTTTAATTAATCTAATGTCACAATGCAGGATTTTAGGAGATGCATTTTGCAGGTTACTGTACCAGTCATCCGCACTTTCAGTAGCTGGCAGTTAAAAAAAAAAGCAAACACGAACAAAACCCTGGCTCCGTAGTTAAGGCTATCCTGAGTTTCCAGCTTCAGTGGTGGGGAGCAAATGCCTCTAAGCAGGACGATGTATAGGTGTCAGATCCACTCTTCCAAACGTGCGGTGTCAGTGTCAGGACGATTGGAAATGGCTCCTTTCTTATAACACTTTTCAGCTTCCTGATTCAAAGGTCACAAACTTCCAATTATAGTGACAGCTTTAGAAAAGTACAACCCAAGAGTAGGGTAATTTTTCTTTTGGGGAGAGGGAAAATACAACAAAATCGTTCCTTAGGAGCACTCTAGAAACTCTCGATCTCCCCGGAGAAGTGCAGTCCCCGAGGCTCCCTTCTAGGCCCTCCTGCTCCTGCGCACCCAGCTGTCACCTATCTTTGTCCCTGCTTTAGCACCAGCCCTCCCCCTCCTTACCCTGTTTTGCTATTATCTGTGTTTCTCGCAACCCAGCTTTACTGGGTCGTGATAAACCTGTACAACAAAGTCCAGCATTTGATAGAAATGTGAACCCTAAGAGAAGCAGTGTCTCTAAAAATGACAAATCACATGTATTAAGTCCATGTCTCAGACCTTAATGGGAGGCCGAAAGCAGATGCAGCAATGTTCTTAGTGGTAGAGACAACATGGGGTCTAGAAGAGGAGAAGGAAAAAGTTGTCTGAGCAGCAAAGCTCCTTGCTGGGCTAGTGAGGCTTTTTCTCCTTGTTGTGCTGTGGAGTGGAGCCTCATCCAGTGAATGTTTCCAGCTGTACCACAGTTGACCAAATTTTAGCAGGAAATTGGAGAGGAATTTGAGAGTGAGCCCAAATATCGGGGGTTGATAGAGGTGAAAAGGCACCCTGGTAATAGGCATTTGGTGGGGAAGCTGAACAGAAGAAATAAAAAAAGGTGGGTATGAGGGCTGCAGAAATGTGTTGCAGGAGAGAGAGACAGACTGTGCAAGTGGCATGATGAAAGTGGAAGGAGAGTCCTGAAAAACTGGGTGTGCACAATTGAGTAGCGAGAGAGTGTCAGTTGAGGTGAGGCGTCAGTGCATCTGTGTTTTGTGATGCCTGGGTATTAAAGCATGTGAACTGAAGTTGGTAAAATTGCTTCTTTAACTGCTAACCTCTACGCTCTGCAACTGCATGGTCCTGCAGTGTGCTTGAGCAGCCCCTGCTGAAAGATACTGGCATTTTTACCTGGGAAGCGTAGCATCTCTGGAGGAGCACATGAATTCTGTTCTGTTCTGTGGAATGTGGACATATTTGTCCCTGTCAACATGGCAAGATCATTAGAAAGCGTCTGACCTGAGATGAGGGTTCTAGGAAAGCTCTTTAGATAGCTTATTGTTTCCTATTTGACAACTCTGAAGTGGCTTGAAATCTGAAAATGCTCCATGTTTTCTCTAAATTTATCTCCGACAGAAATAATTACTTTCTGTTTTGTGAGTCTGCACGTTAGATAATCTAGAGAGGAGTATGGTATTCTTCGATTGTTTAAAAGATCAACAGTGAACAGCAGTTGCATTACTGGAATTCAAACAATAGATTCAAAGAGGCTTTAGACTCTAATCGTTTTTTATGTATACTATTTGCTTTCCGACCCATGAAAAGGCAGAGAATTTGCAATTAATCTGTCATTTTTCGGCCTTTAAACAAGCATTGTTAATATTGGTTAATAAAGCTGATATCAAGGGGAATGCTTCACAGGATGCAAGTGTCTAAATGAGCATATTGAACAAAGAGAAGGGAGTATTTCCATTGAAAGATAGAGTAGAAGTCAGGCCTGCTGAGATTTTGTTCTCAACTGTACCACAAACTCATCCTACTACAAATTGGTTGACATTTTGCAAAGGGCCGAACAGTTCCTGTCCAACTGCTTTAATTTGTGCAGAGTACTTACAAGTTGTCTTATAAAAAGCCGTGTAAAACTGCAAAGTGTTTTTATTTCATTTGGGACTGGGGGGTTGTGATGAAACTGAAGAACCAAAAATGGAAATCATTGTTTTAGAGCTTGTCTAACCTGTGTTGTTACAGCAGAAAAGGAGACTTTCAGTTGTGTCCTTTGCACGTTCACCTGTCTCCGAATGTCGAGCCTTAACCGCCACATGAAAATCCATTCTGATGAAAAACCCCACCTGTGCCATCTCTGCCTAAGGGCTTTCCGTACAGTTACTCTCCTGCGTAACCACATGAACACACATACAGGTAGATGCTGTGTGCAAAATATCTTCCTTTTGCTTGGTGTCTGTTGTATCCGGCTGGCCTTCCAAATTAGTGGTTCTCAAACCTTTTCTTTCATGGAGCGCTTGAAAATTGCTGAGGGTCTTGGCGGACCACTTAGCAGACCACTTAATAAACTTTTTTTTTGTTCTACAAATCAAAGTGCACAACTCAGATTTTAATATCAGTAGTCTTACCTTACAGGTTCAGATATTTTTGATTGTTCCACAACCTTTCTGCGGACCACCTAATGGAGCTCACGGACCAGTGGTGGTCTGCGGACCACCATTTGAGACCCTCTGTTCCAGATGATTGCAAAAGTCGTATTCTGGCATCAGTCTGCACTCACAACTCCCACTAGTTTCCTTGGAAGGTCTGTGTGTGGGATGTTGAAAGGGCACGGCCTATTGACGTATATCCCATTTGTATGGGAAAAAAGGATTTTAAGCAAGGAACCATTTTCAAACTAAAATCTCTAATTCCTGTATGTGTGACCTGGTCTGCCTTCTTGAATGTTTGTTGACCTGTCTCTTCCTTTCTGTGTATTTAAAATGGGTAAGTCGTTAAGCTTTGCAGTTCATAGAATCATAGAAAGTTAGGGCTGGCAGGGACCTCAGGAGGTCATCTAGTTCAGACTAGATGATTCAAAGCAGGACCATCCCTGACTAGATCATCCCAGCCAAAGTTTTGTCCAGCCAGG